CGAATGGAATTTAGCACTTAAGTTGCAGAAGCAGTTCAATTTTGACGTTACGGAGCAAAGAGGGGGATGAAATGCATTTGTGCACTGATATTGGATTCGTTACGCCTTTTTTGACTCAAAATCACCTTAAGTTGTGTTGAACTGGAGCAAGTGGTAACTGGTAATGTGTGAGTTCTACATGGGCCACACAGTTCGAACAGAAAATTGGCTCGTACATGCTGCCGTCTGGATTTCATTCGGTGAGAAGGTGGAAGGTTTCTTCGACTCCACGGCGATCTTTTCATCCTCTTCCGGGTAGCATATCGCCTCCTTACACTCTCCTTCCTCTAAATAGCGAGAAAATTTCCTAATTGAATGAATGTCCACACGTCTCTTCTGCCCTGAAAGTTGGCGCTTTTGAGCTTTGAAAACATTTAGTTATTTATGGTTTCCACCTAACTTAATAAATAAGTACAGGACATGTACTATCAACGGAAAAAATGTTTTGCAATGAGTGGTTCTACTTTATTCCTGCGTAATACGATTGATGTATAATAAGATCGTGACATTTACGAATAAGTTCCATGATTCTCCACCAACAAATAATAGCTTTGACATTTATTGTACTGGCACATCACACATAACAGGGGACCCGAACATTCCTGACGGTAGACAGCAATGATTTCACCTTCTATCAGAAACGATTAGCCTGCAAAAAGCATTACCACACCGGGAGAAACGCTTGGAAATGCTGGGAGATCTGGTAAACTTGATATTGCGGAAGATTTTGTTGCGCTGCTGTTGCCAATTCGAGTGAACGTCACTGCGTGTCAGGTTTCGCCAAGTCAGTCTCTCTGGTCGTTGCGCCCCAGGGTTCAGCTCACTAACCGCACAATTGGAGGGTATTCTCGTCTGTCGGCCCCCTTCGGTGCTTACGCCCATGCACTCCTGACTACCATTTGATTTGTACACTCCCTTTGGGTGACAAGCAGCATCGTGCTCTGAAATTTTGATTTCATTGTGCTTGTGGTAAGGGAAGCTGCCATGCTAAGACAGTACGATGTGAACAGCCGTGACTGTTAAAACTCTAAAGTTACATTTACAAAGTGCATTTTCAAATCATTTGCGAAACATTTGAAAAATTTTACACTTCCACTGGAAAATAATATCGACAAAATGAAGCAAAAACT